GAGAGGTGACCGACCCGGATTTTCCCCAGGGTTTAGGTTTAGGATTTAGGGTTTAGGGTTTAGGGTTTAGGGTTGAGGGTCATGTGCAGCTCCTCATGTTCGACCGTTGAGCCCCAATTTTGGCATGCCATTCTGACCTTCTGTACCCCAAAACTGCACAACTTAGGGTTTAGGGTTTAGGGTTTAGGGTTTAGGGTGTAGGGTTTAGGGTAGGGCCTGGGAGCAACAGCGTACTCCAAGGACTTCCTCACTTTAAGCGACCCCCCTTATCAGGATTTGAGGGCCACGAGCTTTTCAGCACCTTGCACATGAAAACAGATAAGGTTGTTTAAGGACAACCACATTGACATGAACTTCTTAGCTTCCAGAACAACAAGCAGATGTTCAAGCTTGCAGAAGTTTGGCCTTCTTACAGGAGCCCCTACTTTTGCAGAAGCCCGCCCGCAGGAACTACGGCCTGCAGCAAACGACCAAAGGAAAAGCCGAACCCAAGGAAGTCACAGAGACACCCGAAAAACAACAACTCTAGAATCTAGAAGCCTTCTTTAAAAATCTTCGAAGTACTGATCCCGGCCATATGAGTAATATTAACTATTTGCCAGGCTTTATAAACTCGCATCCCACACGTATCCATTACTAATTGCGAAGATGGCAGCAACGGTTGAGTCCCGGCAGCCTGTGACACCCTTTCTAGGTGGAACAAGAAGAGGGTGAGGATCTAGGGTCTAGGGTTTAGGGGCCATTCCTTCGTCTTCCCTACTTGGACGAAGGAATGGCCCAGAAACCATAAACCCTGAAGATTCTCCGGATTCCTATTTCTTGCTATCATCGCTGCACGTGCCGCGCAGCATGTGTCGCCACCCCACTAAGGAAAGCTGCCCTGAAGCCGCCTAACATCTGTAAACCCTATGCCCTACACCCGATAAAACCCTATAACCTCATAACCCTATAAACGTATAACACAATAAACCTATAAACCCTCAAACCCTAAACCCGATAAAACCCTATACACCTATAACAACTCTAAACCCTAAACCCTGCACCCGACAAAACTCTATAAACCTGTAAAACCCTAACCCTAGGCCTGAACCCTAAACCCTAAACCCTCAACCCTCAACCCTCAACCCTCAACCCTAAACCCTAAACCCTAACCCTAAACCCTAAACCCTAAACCCTGAACCCCAAACCCTAAACCCTTAACACAAAAAACAAAAACCTGAAATCCGCAAATCCTGAGCAAATCGCCTCCAAGACACACGTCGGCTCCTTCCTGCGCGAAAGACTCCTGCAAGTCGAGAAGCGGTGATCCCAGCCCCCCTTAGCCTATAGACTGGTAGGCGAAACCCTTATCCATAAAACCCTGAACCCTACAGCTCAAAGCCTCAAAGCCCTGCACCCTCAACCCTAAAGCCCTCCGCCACAATAGACCCCCTGGAGCCTGAAAGCCCTGACCTCGAAACTCTAAAAACCCTGCACCCAAAAAGCCCTGCAAGCCCTAAAACCCTACACCCTCAACCTTATGTGTAGGCCCAAAAAAGCCTACCTTTGTTAGGAGGCTTCCTTATTCTGATCTCCTTCTATTCTCCTCTTTTAAAAGGTAGGTAAGTTTGGGCTAAAAAGGCAAGCCCTGCAGCCCTAAAGAAGCCCTACACCCTAAACTCTAAACCCTAAACCCTAAACTCCTCGAGCGCCGCTTCAGAGGCCAAGGCCGAGCCAAAGTCCGAGGCGTGGAGCGTGGTCACGTGCAAGGGTGCCTGAGCTTGCTAGGAAGCCCCTACTTGGAGGGTTTAGGGTTTAGGGTTTAGGGTTTAGGGTTTAGGGTTTAGGGTTGGCTAGCACACCCCTGCTTCGAGGATCCATGGGTGCTTCTAAGTAGGGTTACCAGGGGTGCCTGGAGCCTGAAACCTAAACAATCTGCTTATCAAATTCTGCGGTATTGCTGCACGTGGGCTCTCTTGGAGTGTTCCTCGAGTCCAAGTTCACAGTACATTGCAACTTCACCTTCAGAACGTAGATCACAAAACTGCATACCCCGGAACCCTCTAGGCAAAAGAATCCCACCCTAATCCTAAACCCTAACCCTAAACCCATAAACCTGAAACACTGAACTTCAGCACAACGCCATTCGTGCTCCTCGGGACCAAGAACTGCCTCAAAGCCGAGCAAGTCCTCGTTCCTGGAGCCCTAGAAAGACGCAGTATGTGTGTATATATATATATATGGGTTTATATACATATATATATATATTTATGTATTTATTTATATGTTCATATACACAACCTTCATTTTTGAACCAGAGACTATTGTTGTGTCTAGGGCTGACAAACTGTGCTGCTTCCTGTTGACAGCAAGCGGCTGGCACGGAATATTGTCGCAGTTCGAACGCCTCCTTGGCCACTTCCTCGGAAGAGAGGTTCTGGGAAATCTGTACTTGCACGTTGTTGTTCTGGGTTTGCATTGAAATATCTCCATGGTTGCTGGGTGCTTCACTTCCAATCTGTATCTCTGGAATGTGCAGCGGCTGGGAGGCTTGCAACGAGGCAGATGAGCGGCTGTGCTTGCAACCATACAGCCGCTTTAGAGCCCTAAACCGCCAAAGTCCAGCCATGAAGAAGTCTAAGCACCCAACTCCCAGCCACCAAGCTCCTGCAATCGCATCTTAAGGGCTGACCTAAAACTCGGCTTCCGAAGTCGAGTCTAGTATGTTCCATATACAACATTCAGGGTTTAGGGATGATAGGGGTGAGGATGCCCGGCGCCCCTAAACCTGAAACCGCAAACCCCAAGCCCCAAGCCCTAAACCCTGAAACCCTAAACCGTGCACCCTAAGCCCCAAGCCCTAAACCCTAAAACCCTAGCCCCCAAGCCCCTAAGCCGTAAAAACTCGGACTTGTGGCAGCTTGGAGTGCAGCCACCATCGGCGTCCAGACCCTGGGCTACAGCTGCGAAAGCCGAGCAGCAGGGGCCATACCACCCTAAACCCGAAACCCTAAACCCTAAACCCTAAGCCCTAAACCCTAAACCTTAAACCTTAATTTCTAAACCCTAAACCCTAAACCCTAAGACCCTAACATCCCTTAACCTGTAAGGGCATTCGATAATGGAGCCCTGGTTGAGCTACGTCTGTCTGTGGTCAGAGTCTTGGCGTGAAGAGCCTAACAGCCCTAAGCCCTCAACCCTCAAACCTCTGAGCCCTAAATCCAAAAACCCTCAAACCTCTTCAAACCTCTTCAAACCTCTTCAAACCTCTTCAAACCTCTTCAAACCTCTTCAAACCTCTAAGCCCTAAACCCTGGACCAAGAAGGCACCTTGGAGGGTCAGAGTTTGGCATCAACAAAAGAACTGAAAGAGGGCGAGTCGGGAAAATTTCTTTTTTTGGGGGGTGGGGGGGAGGGTTTAGGGTTTAGGGTTTAGGGTTTAGGGTTTAGGGTTTAGGGTTTAGGGTTTAGGGTTTAGGGTTTAGGGTTTAGGGTTTAGGGTTTAGGGTTTAGGGCTAAGGGTTTAGGGTTTAGGCTTTAGGGTTGACGGACGGCTAAGGGTTTAGGGTTTAGGGTTTGGGATTTGGGGTTTCAGGTTTAGGGTTTAGGGTTTGGGGTGTAGGGCTTCGGGTTTAGGGTGTAGGGTTTAGGGTGTCGGGCTTTAGGTTACAGCGTGTATGTTTAAGCTACATGTAGCTCGAACATGGCCAGCTGGTGTGCGTACAGAAAACAAGCCCACGCGCTCGCTGCCCACTCGAAGAGCTGCTTCCAGGTTGACCCCTGGGTTCAACTGAATTTGGGGTTGAGGGTTCCCTAAACCCTAAAGTCTAGACCCTGAACCTTAACCCGGAGGTTTACAGGGTTTTGTGGCTTTTGGGGTGTGGCTTGCGTCTCTGCCAAGTTTCAGGTGCTTTCTCACCTTAAGGTTCAGGGTTGCCGGGTCTTGGGATGGCTTGGAATCGGTTTAGGGTTTAGGGTTTAGGGTTTAGGGTTTAGGGTTTAGGGTTTAGGGTTTAGGGTTTAGGGTTTAGGGTTCAGGGTTTAGGGTTTAGGGTTCGTGAACCCAACAACCCTCTAAAAATGAAAGCCCTACATGTCCTAAGACCGAAACAAGCAAGTCCCTTAACCCAGAGGTCTGGTCCAGCGCCAGTGTGTCTTGTAGAGCTATTGGGACACTATATTGCTCTGAAAACACGTAACCCCCCCAGCCTGGAAACCATAAAACAATAGAAGCCCTTACAAACCCTAAGAACACCCGAACCCTTTTTCAAACCCCTACAAAACCCGTAAAGCAACAGAAACCCGCACAAACCCATATAACAAACCCTCATAGAGCCTTAGGAACCTACCAAACCCTTAGGAAGCCTCAAACACCCTTGTCAAACCCCTACAAACCCGACTACAAAGCTTTATACACCCTAAACCCTGAACCCTTCTCAAAACCTAAGCCCTAAGCCCCCGAAGCCTGAAGTTCGAAACCCTAAAACCCTAAACCCTAGCCCTAGAACCTAAACCCCACGAACCCCCTAAAGCCCTGGGCCCCCGTCTGTTGTGGACCCTTAACCCCTTAACCCTAAACCCTAAACCCTAAACCCTAAACCCTAAACCCACGAACTCCCTAAAACCCTGAGATGCCAGGCCATGGGTCCGAAATATCGTGGCACAGCCCTGGCCGGCCGGGCGCCCGCAGCCGTTGAGGTGGCTGCCTCCCAGGCGGCGCTTGCAAGGTTGTAAGTAGGTTTAGGGTTTAGGGTTTAGGGTTTAGGGTTTAGGGTTTAGGGTTTAGGGTTTAGGGTTTAGGGTTGCAAGTAGGACTAGCTAGGGCTGATAACCTCGTTTAGGATACCTAACACCTTACTTGTAAGTACTCATGAATCCGCTTAAACGGCTATTTCTTGAATTTCTTATGGGCCTTTCGGGGCTTTAGAAGTTTTAAGGGCTTTGAGGGGTTTAAGTTTAGCATTTAGGGCTCTGTGGGTTTAGGGGCTGGTGGGTCATAGGGCTTGCGAGGTTTTCGGGGGTTTGAGGTTTTTAGGAGCCAGGCAGGCTAGCCTTTAGCTCATTGCTGGAGAATTCGTTTTGTTCAGGGTTTAGGGTTTAGGATATAGGGTTCAGGATTTAGGGTTTAGGATTTAGCTTTTAGGATCTAGGGCTCCGGGGGTTTGAGGGTGCTACGTAAACTTAGACCCTTGACAATCCCGCTGCCTTCTTTGGTGCCGCAGCGCCCGCACGCCGGGCGAGGTCAAGCTCCTCCCCGTACTCTGGGCTGTTTGGATTGGTGTTAGGTTGAGGGCCTTAAGAGCCCTAGACGCCAAACGCAGGTGGTCGAAGAGCCTCCCTACTTGTGAGGGTGGTGCGAAACCATACTGCAGATAAGAGTGTGCAAGGAACAACTGGCGCGGCACCACTGAAACGCTCAACAAAGGTTTAGGGTATAGGGTATAAAGTTTAGGGTTTAGGGTTAAGGGCTCGAAGCAGCTGTGCCCAAGTAGATTGCCTGAACTATCTCAAGGCGTTTTACCTGAGAATGAAACTGCAGACTGCGCATTCGGATTCAGGATTCAGGGTTTGTGGCTTTCTACGGTTTGAAGTTTAGCGCTTGGCTTAGTATTTCGGGTGTGGGTGTGTAGGCTGTGTAGGACCTCCGAAACGTGCTCTGATGCTTGCTGCACTGTTATACGTCTCTACGTCTCCGTGTCAATTGGCCGTGCTTGCAATGGATTGCGCAAAGCCTGTCCCCTTAGTTGTTTCAAACTTCGAAGCCCAACCCTATCATTCCTGAACTCTTAGGCCCTCCTTAAGAACCCAAAACCTACTTCTTCGTAGGTTTCCTAGGAATCCTATATGGCTTTTTTCTTCCAGTCCGGACCCTACAAAAACATGTAGGCTTTGAGTTCTTTAAGGCAAATCCCAAGCTATCCTAAATTTTAGTCCAACTCGGAGTACAATACGCCCTAAAGCCTATAAACCGTATAAACCGTATGAACCGCATACACCCTATAAACCCTGTAGACCCTAACCTAGTTCATGGTTGTGATCGTATTAAAAAATTTGAATCTATATTCCTTCTTGGGTTTAAGTACCCTTAAAAACTTAAAATATTCCCAACTCTGACCAAGTAACCCCTAAACCCTAAATTCGCAGGGCGCGAAAGCTCCTCGTAGCGGCTGAGCATCTTTCGGAGGACGGCCTCGTAGGGTCTAGGGTTTCGGGTTTGGGGTTTAGGGTTGAGGGTTCAGGGTTTAGGGTACAGGGCTTAGGGGCACGCAAGCTACTGGGTTTTGGAGTACTATACTTTACTTTTTTGGGTTCTGGGTTCCTATTAAAGCTATTTTCACCTAAAAAGTAGATGCTTTTTTCCAGGGTCCACTCCAAAGGTAGGGGCTAAGGGTGTTTGTGGTGTACCTGCAAGATCCTTCATACCCTTGAACAAAGGGAACTGCGCCAGAAATGTTGGGTATTTGCCCTTTTTGTTAAGCTTGGTAGCCCAGTGGTACCCTTTACCCTTCTTCTTGGCTATGGGTTCCCTTAGAAAGTAATCAACCGAAACAAAAAGGTGCCCTTGTTACAACCCCTTGGTTCTCAGTAGGGAAGGGGAATTAGGGCCACATATATATATATATATATATTTGTATACATATTCCCTTTAAGGATTTTATAGGGCCCTAGTTCCCGCGTTCCCTACTAAGAACCAGCCAGATAAGATGGTTAAGGTTACTCCTGTAGTGAGGGCTTAGGGAAGTTGCAACGTGCCGATGTTGGGAACCTCGTGCCAGTTTGTGTCGAATGCATCTGGAAGCCGCGGCTTAGCACTGCCCTTCGTTGTGGCTTTTTCTGACTTTGCCTAGATCATTCAGGGTTTAGGGTTTAGGGCGTAGAGTCAGTTGAAGTTCCATCATTGCTGGGACAACATCGAGTCAACTAACAAAACAAGTGCCCCAAAGAAGGAACTCTCATGGGATCTGAGCAGAGTTCGTCCAGAACGGAATTGAGCCGCAAAGCGTTTTGAGTCACCAAGGATGGGCTTTCGATATCAATAAAATGAATCCCCCAAACACAGGGTTCGGGTTTAGGGATTAGGGCTCCGCGCTGCCCCAAAACACCCCCCTAAACCCTACACCCTTGTGGGATTCTCAACCTAGCACCCAGGGCATGGAATCATGGCAATGCTACTATGCACAGCATGTACATATATATATATATATACGTCTACATATCATGTGGTGCGTGAGACATTGAGTGCGCGTGCGCGCGCGCGCGCGCGCGACCCTTTAAGCCCTCGTTAGCCCCACGAAGCCTCGCTGACCGCCTTGCCCATACCCTGGAGGGGAGAGAAGGCGTAAACATAGCATGGACTCCAGTTTCCGGTGTCCAGGGAACGTAGGCTTATGGGGAGCAGATGCTTCTGATTCTACCCGATAAGACTTCGACTAGAAACATGGGAATGTACGAATAATACAGGTACGTAACCCTTCTTTCAGGGGATATCGGCCACTCTGGGTAGGTTTGAAGCAAGCGACGACGTCATGCCTACGAATCATCTATCTGCAGGTGTAGATTACATGCCAGGGTGTGAAATTTGCTGAGAACGGGGGGAGCTGAAAACGAGCGCCAAAAACCTCAAAACCCTGAACTCTATACCCAGATCACAAGAGTCGAATTGGGCCACTTGATGCGAGGTTGGGCTCAACCATTAGGGGGCTGAAGAGGTGCAGAGGTCTATGATTTGAAGATTCAAGATTCAGGTCTTGGGGCGGTGGAGGCTTGTTAGGGTTGCATAGCTTTACAAACAACAAGACTTTAGAAGCTCAGGGTTTAGGAGTTTAGGTGGGTTCAGGGTACCCTAAACCCCCAACCCTAAACCCTAAACCCACAACCCAAACCCCAATCACTAAACCCTAAAACCCCAGTGTCTTTAGGGTTTTGGGTTTAGGGTGCAAGTGTCATGGAAGCTCTCATGGTATCATGAGCCTCAGACTCACAGCATGAAGGTTGATCCATCTAGGGCTCGGAGAGTCACACGAAGTCTCGATGGCCACATCCTTCGTTCTCTTGGAGCATGCCCGATGCTTAGACTCAAGTGTCACCCACAACAGCCTTCAACGAAGCAATCGAGACACGGACAGCCACCACGCCCCCCAAAAACGCCCAAACTGTACTGAGACTATACCTGGGACCCTCTTTAATTACCCACAGCTCTATGGATTATCCCTACTAATTAAGGGTAGCTGCTTCGAATCTGTAGGTAAATAGTCCCAGGTAGAAGAAAGATCCATGATCCAGCCACCGGCCTCGCGGCCACGATTCCGCTCTACGAGCAGAGCCAGATCCCGCCAGTTTGCGTGCAGCTCGCTCGGATCCACCTCGCAGGCGAAGGCCGAGCACGCGACCCTAAACCCTAAACCCTAAACCCCAAACCCTAAAAAAAAACCTAAACCCTAAACCCCTAAACCCCGAAGAAAGCAAGGAGAGAGACATCGAGAGGGAGAGCCCCGAAGGTTCCCCCCCATAATTAAGCCTATTTGGGGATAACTCAGCCTAACTAAGGTTATTCAAGGGATGAACTTACGCGGGGTAGTATAGAGGGGGGGAGTATAGGGGAACCCATGGCACAAGAGAGAACAAGAGCGAGAGAGGGAGAGAAGAGAAAGAGCGAGAGACGGAGAGCAAGAGAGAGAGACAGCGAGCGACAGTTTGTAAAGAAGGTCAAAGAAGGGGAGATTGCAGAGGCTGCAGAAGTAGCGAAGATCGAGGAGTCACTTGCACTACTATCTAGAAGGGTACCAAGAACTGCATACTCGGCAGGGTTTCGGGGGTACAAGTGGTACCTTTGCTTGACTTCTTTCTACGAAACCAGTGCTACCATGAGGCTTTGGTCTTCGAGTGGAGTGTTTGGGTATGCTAGCTCTAAAGGTTATCCAGGAAGGCTACATGCATGCTCTACACTGCAGGCACATTTCCCAAGTGAACATGGCAACCAGAAGCCTTTCGCTCACAACTTTCTTAGAGTGGACTTTGGGTTTGGTGGCTTAATGTGGCATCGGAGACTCATGGGACTCCACTGCATGCGGAAGTGAAAGTGTTGCTCTCGTGGGCCCAAACACTACTTGGAGGTTCATGGGTACTTATAACCCACCCAATCATAAGTCTTTTCATAACCCATTTAGAGAACTTGGGCGGCTTCTAAGCACAGTTATATTTGGGGTGAGAAGTACCTAGAACCTCCAAGTATAGCCCGAAACCCCGAAACCCCGAACCCTAAACCCTAAACCTGAAACCCTAAACCCCAACCCCTGAACTCTTGCCCCGCAACCCTAACTTACGCAAAGAGGATTGGCTGCTGCGGCCTCTGGTCGACCCAGTCATGGGCTCTTACCCTGGTTCGGACGACTTGACGTATCTTGAACCTTACGAAACATTTGACACGCCTCTGCCAAAACCCTAAACCCTAAACCCTAAACCCTAAACCCTAAACCCTGAACCCCTAACCCTGAACCCGAACCCTGAACCCTAGACCCTAAACCCTAAACCCTTAACCCTAAACAAAAGCCGGCGAGGTGCAATCCGTGTCCGATAGCCAGCTTCCTCGGCCGTGCGGAGGTAGGGTGCCATCTCCTTCAACAAGCAGATGGAGGAAGCCCAGGCTCATCAAGCAAGGCTTAGGGGGTTTACAGGGTTTGTAAGGGTTTGGGGTTTAGGGTCTGGGGCTTGGGGTTGAGGGTTTCGGGTTTAGGTTTAGGGTAAGGGATGATTGTGACCTCCGGCCACAGTTCGAGGTCCCTGACCGGCCACCCCGTGTAAGCAAACCACATGCCGAAGTGCACAGGCCAAGCAGGAATGGGTCCTCGAAGACGGCGCCAGGCACGGGGGCCAGTAGTTCACCCACCAATCCCCGTTCCAGCCCAGCACCCTTTAAGGCCCCAAAGCCAAGAAGCTTCCGCAAGAAGCCAGGATGAGTGCCCCATACACTATCTCTTTGCCAGAACGACCATTGGGGGGGGGGGTGGGGGGGTTGGGTGGGTTTGGGGTGGGGGGGGGGGAGGAAGGGGGCGGGGAGGAAGGGGGGGGGGGGAGGAGGGAGGGGGGGTTAGAAACTATAGATATGTCATAACCAGCCGAACTTCCTCAGTCCAGAAACTTTAATTTTGTTTGCATGTAGGGTGTGTTTTTAAGGATGCTCTTCGTAAAACATGTGCAATCCTAATAGTTTTTGCTTTTGGGCATGTGGGGAATAAGTACTCTTTGAATTTCTTGAAATTTTGCGGGCCAAATCCAGCTGTGTTTGTCATTTGTTATGCCGCTGAACAAGGGAAGCTTTCAAATAGTACGTAGCAGCTTCTCTCACGCATTTAGCGTTTGTGTGTACCTATATCTATTTCGAGATTACTCGGGGACTACATGTTGGCGAGCTTTTAGAACTCTTCATTCAGGGAGGCCTGGGATTCTAGCCGAACTTGGCGTCCCAATGAGTTGCAATTAACCCCTGAACCCTGACCCTAAACCCTAAGCCCTAAGCCCTAAGCCCTAAGCCCTAAACCCTAAACCCTAAACCCACAGGCCCAAAGCCGCAAGCCGTGTTTGCACCACGTGACATAGGGTTTGTATTTACGAGTATCCGAGTATCCCCCAGAAGGACACCCCACACATCCACTGACCAACCGTTAAACTTATAAAGACATACACTCACCAGTAGCAGGAAATATGAACCCTAAGCCACACCAGTCCGCAACACGAGAAGCCCAGCGCTAGTTGGACGTGTGAGGCAATGCACCCTAAACCCTACATCCTAAACCCTAGATCCTATAAACCCGAATTAATATAAACAAAGCCCAATAGTTCTACGCAAGCGGTCCTTCCTAGACATGTTGGTGTTGTCCACGATGATGGGCGTCATGCGCAGGCTTGTCAGGATCTTGACTCGTTCCTGAAGGAAAGCAGACGCAGACACGTAACAACACGAGACACACAAAGACTATGAATGCACACTTTTCAATTCAACACCCCACCCCGCCCCCCAAACAAGTATCTGGTGAAGACTGAAGCATCACTCTTACGTGGGGGGTAGTTCAACAATTTGGAGGGGTTGCTGCAGCCGAAAAAACACATGCTATGAAGGGGTGAATGAAGTCTGAGTGCTCCTTGAGTAGGGTTTAGGGCGGTTTAGGGTTAGAGTTTGGGGTTTAGGGTATAGGCCTTGCCGCTCTCGTTGCTAGCAGGCATGATTCCGACCGCCGACTTTGAAGTTGTACCCACTTGGAGGTTATTGTCGGGTACTTACAAGTAGGGTACTAAGAACCCTAATAAGGTTGAAGCTTGAAACCATAGCTACCCGACTTATAGCACCCACTCATAAGAACCCTAAACCCTAAACCCTAAACCCTAAACCCTAAACCCTAAACCCTAAACCCTAAACCCTAAACCCTAAACCCTAAACCCTAAACCCTAAACTGATGTGACTTTTGAATCTCTACAGCAATGTTTCACTTGGGGCTGCCCTTCATGCACCTGTGGCTGCGTAGGCTACAGACCGGTGTCTCTCCCGGCCTTCCTTGCCATCTAACCTTCCCAAGCCTCAACCCAAACCCCTAAACCAAATACCCTAAACCCTAAACCAAATACCCTAAACCCTAAGCCCAAAACCCTAAACCCTAAGCCCAAGCGTCCTGGTTCTTGGCATGATTGCGGCCCAGCTTAGACTTGTCATAGGTATAGACCTTCGGGTGAAGGTTTGGAGGGTGCATCTTTGCTCGATTCGCCGTGCTCAACAGGTCTGTGAGTACATCTTGGGATGTTTCCCTTAAAACTAACACTCCTTCAAAGGGACTCTAACAGGGCGTACTCGAATCCCTATTAAGGACTGTTAGTATAAGGTGGAACATCCCAAAATACATGCTTTCCCATCCAGGGTCGGGGTCCGGCTCTAGTCAAACTCTGCCGGAAGCCTTTGTTCTTTAGGAAGGAACACAATAGAAACCTGAGGACACAGAAAGCAACGTATTAAAATGTACACATGCAAGAGTATAATTCTAGTTACAGCATATGTTGACAGCAGGAGACACACACAAAACACATCTCACAGCGGACAGGCAAACCGGATCGATAGACTGAGGATTGGAGGAAGGTACCCTAAGGCCGAAAAACCCTGAACTCTAAACTATAAACCCTCAACAGCCCTAAGCCCCAAGTCGGCCTCCAACATGCTTTCGTGAAGCTTCGAGGCTTTGAGGGGTTGAAGGGTTGCGGAGCCAAGCTAAAGGAGCTGAGCCGTTCCGGGGTGTGCGGACCCCAAGGAAGCACAGGTCAGGTTTAGGGTTTAGGGTTTAGGGTTTAGGGTTTAGGGTTTAGGGTTTAGGGTTTAGGGTTTAGGGTTTAGGGTTTAGGGTTTAGGGTTTAGGGTTTTTTAGGGTTTAGAGTTTTAGGGTTTAGAGTTTTAGGGTTTAGAGTTTTAGGGTTTAGAGTTTTAGGGTTTAGAGTTTTAGGGTTTAGAGTTTTAGGGTTTAGGCCTACGTTGGCCCTACCACAAACCCGGAGCCCCCTGACCCTGCTACGGGCCTCGGGGCTAAACCCGAACCCCAAAACCCCGTGACCCTCCCTTCAGTCCCTTCGGTGAGAGCCCTGAATCCTCAACTCTTGCGGTAGTTACATTGCTTTTTTGTAGTAGGGGGGACCCCTTACACACCCCTTCTATACCCTCTTCAACCCAAGGGCCCATACTTCAGAACCCTTTCAAGAAGCTAAGGGACCATATTATTTAAGGGGCCATGTAACTTGCCTTAGACCAACCCTAAACTCAGATGGCGGGGCCCTTGAACCCAAATCTGCTTGGACCTGCGTGCCGTCACGCCGGTAGGTCGTGAAGAAGTCGTCCGTAGAGCAGATGTGGACGAGACGCTGCCTTATGGAAACTGTGGACTCAGGCCCTCCAACGGTTTCGGTTTTAGGGTTTCGGGTTTCGGGTTTAGGACCTACAGCTCAGGAACTATCCCCCAAAACCGGCTTTCATGCTTTTGACCCAGCATGGTTCTGCTAGCACAGGCTCCACAACCTCAACGAACAAAACACAGCAGAACAGAGTCTGGTAAGATCGGTACGGCACACAACGCTTCCTTACTGGTTCTTCATAGGGAAATGTTGGGAATGAGAGAAGGAGGCACCTTATATTCCCCTACAGTATATATCCCTGTAATGGCTGCAAGAACGAGCCGGAGCCCCCCCAACACCCAAAACCCGAGACCGCAAATCCTTCCGCAGCCCTCAGAGGGGGGGGGGGCCTAAACCCTAAACCCTAAACCCTAAACCCTGAACCCTGAACCCTGAACCCTGAACCCTGAACCCTGAACCCTGAACCCTGAACCCTGAACCCTGAACCCGACGACTCCTACTTGAGGGTTTGGGGTCTTAGAGAAATCTATATTGACCTCACAGGGCGCACGTATAGGAAAGTGTTCTGGAGGTAGGTACCCCAAAAGCCTCTTGAGTATGGGTATGTTGAGTAACTGACTCCAACAGATTTCTTGGGGTGGGCCCTGTTGATAGCCCTGTAAAGTGAAACGCAATTATTGGGGATAATCTCCTGCGGAACTGTAAACAACAGGTTGCCTCAATGCCGAATCTTCAGAGACTAGGACCCGAAAGCCCGGAAACATACAAAAACCGACACCCTCCAACCTGATGCCAACCAAGCCGGAGACTGCAAAAACACCCTAAACCCTCAACCCTAAAGCCTTAGCTTCGTCACGCAAGGGAGAGTGCACCGATCAAGCCCAGCCTGACGACAGGATACGGGTTTCCGGTTGGGCCTGACAAGCTGTGTCTTTTCGCTTGAACCGCCCCAAAACCCAAGACCCAAAACCCAAAACCCAAAACCCAAAACAGGAAACGCAAAGATGGCGATTCAAAGCTCATCAGAGATGGTTCTCAAGACCCGAACGAAGCCGCAAACACCAAACCCCAAGCCCCCCAATCACTAAGCCTCTAAGCCCTCCACCCCAAATCCTCAACCCCCAAAACCCCAATCCCCCAAACACAGGCTAAACCCCCAAAACCCCAAAGCCAACACCCCCAAACCCCCCAAAACCCCCCAAACCCTAAAACTTGCTTAAGCCCTCAGCGCCAAAGCGAAAACCCCAAACAAAAAACAGCTAAACCCTCAAGCCCATAACCCGGGGTTGGTCGAGGCTTTCCAAACCCGAGCCTGTCAGACAAGATCTCCTGAGCGCGGGTGGACTTTCCAACCCCCGGCGGGCCCCGCATGATGAGGAGCCTTGTATGCTGGCGGCTGCGACTCCCTAGGGATACCCCCTGATATTTGCTACCCCCATTGTGGTTCTATTGCATTTTATGGGGGTGCATGAATTTCAGGGGTAGGGGAGGGCTTAATATGAGGAGTAAGGCAATAGGGGTGAGGGTGTACAGGGTTTAGGGTGTTGGGGTTTAGGGTTTAGGGTTTAGGGCTTAGGGTTTGTTTGTAGCATTCTTATATTGAATGTTGGCCTTTTAGGTGTTTCCGCCTTTTTGGCCCTTGGTCCGGGTTCGTGGGAACGTGCTCGACATCCTTTCAGTTTCATAGGCGTTTCTTCTGAGTGGAAAATTGGGGAATTCGGTGCCCTGTCTTCTCCCTTAAAGGGCCATGTTTGGGGGCATAACCGGGTAAACGGTGCCCAATTCCCTTCTTCCGAAGAACTCGTAAGGTGTCCGAAAGTTCAAGACCTGAAGCAACAGAATGCTTATTGGGTCTAGGGTTTAGGGTCCCAATTCAGCGAGACGCAATTGCCTACTCTTCCCTAATCCCCCAAAGGCCGAAACCTCTAAACCCTGCAATCCTGTCCGTTTAAGACCCACCCAAAACCTTAAACCGTAAACCCTGAACCCTAAACCCGAACCCTGACTACCGAAGGATCCAAGGGGCTCCAGAGCATGGGCCTGCTTCCGCTCCCCAGACTGGCCCAGCAGGTATTGTTCGCCTTAGCTGGCCTACGGACGGATTCAGGGTTTAGGGTTTCGGGTTTAGGGTTTAAACCCCCCCTCCCCCGCACTCCGAAGAGGATTGAGGGTTTAAGCGTTTAGCAGGTTTAGGGGTTTGAAGTGTTTAGGCATAGTTTGGGCCTTGATATAAGGGTTGAGACACGGGAGCTCTGAGAGAGGTCCTAGAGCCCAACACCAGCCCTCCTCACTCCACCCTGGAGGGTTTGGGGTTCAGGGTGTTGGGGTTGAGGGATTCGGGTCTTGAGGCGATCTGCCTTACTTACCCGAGAGTTAGGGTTTAGGGTTTAAGGTTTAGGGTTTAGGGTTTAGGGTTTAGGGTTTAGGGTTTAGGGTTTAGGGTTTAGGGTTTAGGGCTTAGGGCTTAGGGTTTAGGGTTTAGGGCAACTATGGAATACACCTTGAGTCATATTCAGGATTTAAAACCCTCTTCCACCACTGAGTGGCATGCCTGCTCCACATCTTGCTCCACGACGACTTGCCCACCTTTGTGGCCAAAAAGGAGCGTCAAGAGCCTGAGCTGCTTAGTCACGAGAGACGTGCCCTTAACACTCCAGCCCTAAACCCGAAACACCCTAAACCCAAAACCCAAAACCCAAAACCCTAAACCCTAAACCCTAAACCTTAAACCCTAAACCCTAAACCTGCACTAAGAACAGAGGGCCTGTGGTGTCGAAGGCTTAAACAAGGCTCATAATGTCGAGGCCCAGGCCCATGCATCTAGACAGGCTCTTAAACCTAAACCCATGCAAACCCTACACCCTAAACCCTAAACCTAAAACCCAGACCCCTAAACCCCAAGCCCTAAACCTAAACCCCAGAACCCGTCCCAAACCCCAAAACCACAAACCGAACACCCCAGACTCCTAAACCCCGGACCCCTAACATCCCGGACCCCCAGACCCCCAAAACCCAAAACCTCCAGACTGCAGACCCCTAAACCCTAAACCCTAAACTCTAAACCCTAAACCCTGAACCCTAAACCCTAAACCCTAAACCTCTAGACTGCACCTTAGGCGCTTCTTCGCAGCTGCGCCCGAGGTCTTCATCGGTGCCGCGCTAGGGGTCGCTTGGCCGCCTGCCCTCGCTGCCGGCGGTCCCTCGGCTCAGGGGTTTCCTAACGGACCCTAAACCCTAAACCCTAAACCCTAAACCCTAAACCCTAAACCCTAAACCCTAAACCCTAAACCCTAAACCCTAAAAGTATGTAGGGATTGTAACGTAGCTAGGCATCTAACGCCCTAGACCTCCAACCGAGTAGGGCACAACGTGCACTTTTGCGCACCTGCTGTGGCACTCCCCTGCATGTGCTTGGATTGCACATGCGCCCCGGACGTTGAGGGTTCAAGCCGTATCAAAACTAGCTCAGAGTTGATGCTCCCGATAGCCCGCGTCTCTAATCAGCTCACTCGTCTCCGGACTTGCATGGTCGAGGAGTTGAAGCAACTGCGCAGCTGCTGTGCGAATGTCACCACGAGGGCTGCTTGCTGTGGCTATAACTTTGTAGATCACTTCGGCTCTCTGGGCGGCCGTCTCCTGTAGCAAAGCCTGCGGCACGTAAGTGAAGCAAGTCTTCAACAACTCCAAGATGACCTCAATGTGAATGAAGTCGTCCTCCTCCCGGAGGCAGTGGAACAACACTGGCAGGAGCCCGAGCTCAACCGCTGCAGAAATCTGCATCGCAACCCTGAGTACGCTCTCAAGGCAGAACAACGGAAACTGTCGCAAGATCCTCCGGTTGCGCAGCTGGGTAATCAAAGGTTTGAGACACCCGTGTTCACAAGCAGCTTTTGCAAGCTGCTCTCCACTCATGATAAAGCCCCAAAGAGCAGAAGAAGCTGCTTCTTTCATATTGTCACATCTGTGTTCCAACAGGCCGACCAGCACTGGTATGCCGGCATCCGGAAAGCGTTCTGGATATTCCCCGAGCGAACCCAACGCTTTCACGGATTCCAGCATGTTTTCTTCGCATCCGGACTGTGCTATCAAAAGCAAGGTCGGAATCACGTCTGTTGGTGCGACATTGAGTGGGTCACAACCAAGGTCGCATGCGTACTGGAGTGTTTCGAGTGCCGCCCGTTGCGCAGGTGCTGGGCTAAGCTTAAGAAGCCTCTCCAAAAGATCGGCAACGCCTGCAGCTCGAAGAGCATTCTCCACGTGCTCCCGCAAGGGCCAGTCGGTCTCGAGATTCTTTCTGGCGATCGCACGTATGCAACATGCTGCGGACAGAGGTACATGGCGCCAGGAGGCTAAAGCAGACGACAAGAAGCGCACGAAGTAGGGCTTGTCTTCTATCTCTTGCCACCTGTTGGACAACACAGCCGCAATGACACACGTTGCACGATGAGCATCTTCTTCCGCCCAAGCAAGAATGCGAGGAGCGTCTTCGGATTTGATGGCCCCTGCAACTGCCTGGATGCATGCTGGCCCCCAGACTCTGACCCCCAGCTGGTCAAGCAAAGGTCTCAGCTCATCTTGCTGGAGAGCAATCTGGCAGCTGTCTTCAAGAATGGCCAAGCGTGGCCAGGGCTTGTTGCGG